GTCCAATCTAAACCTCCCCTGGCACAACTTGAGGCCGTTTCCTCTCGTCCTATCGCTTGTTACTTGGGAGAAGAGACCGACACCCACCTCGCTACAACCTCCTTTCAGGTAGTTGTAGAGAGCGATGAGGTCTCCCCTCAGCCTCCGTTGCCCTTCCTGGACACGCTCCAGCACCTCGACGTCCTTCTTGGAGTGAGGGGCCCAAAACTGAACACAGTGTTTGAGGTGCATTGAGAGATCAGCATCAGTGGCATGGAGACTTCTCTCCTGATGTGATCTGCTCAAACATTTCCCTCTGTTCATTGCAACATCCCCTTTCCTCCCCCAAAATAGGAGCTTTTGCTGGTGCATTGCGGCAGGATGGATACCAGCAAGCACACGGTGCAGTAACCTAAAATCCGGGTGTTTGTCCTCAAAACCGCCGTGCTCACCTCTAGCTCCACACACACTAATCCCCGATGGGTTGCAGGTTGGAAAAACATCAAGCAGCCGTTTGCATGGTGCAAACAGCCTGTGCTCGAGGGAGGGGACTCCTCCGGCGTGGTGGGAAAACCCCGGTGTCTTAGACAAATAACGGGTTTTCCACGTGAGAAAGTCCTCGGAGCCAGGTAACGCAGCCAAGAAGGAGGTGGTGAACGGCTGCGCCGGGACCCGTATCGGTGCATTTTGGCACACTCGGGTGTCGGGCTGGAGGATTCCTCAAACCGGTGGAGACATCTGTGTTTCTTATTGACTGCGCCCAGGAGTGGGCTGAACAAAAATTGGGAGTTTAATGAAATTTTAAATATCATTTTAATGGCTCTTTTAATTTCTCATAAAGCAGCAGTTAAAAGACTTTAGAGATTATGGAACTGCTTATTTTATGATCTAAGTATTGTAAAAACAATCTGCCTCAACCACTGCTGGAACCGGTTACGTAGATGGGAAACACTTTTGTAGGAGCGAGAGCAGCCCCCTTTTTTTTTTTTCTTTTTCGGTCGTAATCTCCAAATCTGGGTTGTTATATTTGATTTCCACTACCTCTGAGGTACAGGACATATGGGGAAAAAAAAGTATATATCATCAGCAGGAGGTCCAAAAAAGAGCAGAGCAGGGAACTGGGTTGCAAGGCGTGTAGCAATTACAAACAGCACATTGCACGTACTGTTAAATCCTGGGTTACAGACGTATTCTGGAGGACAGCAAACCCATTTTAAAAAGCAAATGCCTATTCCCAAAAAAGCATCACCTCCTCTATTTACAGGTTCACAGAAATATTTGTGTTGGTTTTTTTTCTTTCCTCTCAAGAGGTTTTTTTTTTTCTCTCTCTCTTTTCAAGTTGGCTCATTGGGCTGGAGCCAGAACTGACTCCTAAATTGAGACATAATTAGAGATGTCCTGCTGTGTCTTTCTGGGCAATTCATTTAACCTCTATACCTTATTTCACTGCAGGTTTAAATAAAGAGGTGAGAGAATCTCTCTTGACTGCATAAAAAAAGAGCTATGTAAAGCCAAGCGGTAAGAACAAGAATTACAACTAATACCCGGCCAACAACAGACGTTTTAAAAATGACTTTTGCCCTTCCCTGGATGTCAGCCGTGCCATCCACGCACACACACATCGCTGTAAAGCTGCACCAAAAGACTTTCAAACCTCTAACACACACCTTGGAAAACAGCTTTTTGCTGGGAAAAAAAGAGGACATCCACCTCGACGGGCAGAACCGGTGCCTTACGTCTCCTCGAGGGCTTTGTCCCGCCGGAGGCTCCAGCACCGTGGTCTCCCCGGGGGGGATAATGCCACAGGAAAGCAGCTCGCATTTTTCCCAGGTTTCTCACATCACAGCCAGCCTAATAGGATTTTTACAACCTTTCAGCTCCACTCTTTCTTGCCTCTTTCGCACCAAAAATGCTGCTGACGTATACAGGACTATTCATACGACCGAGACATGCAAGATTTGGCTCTTAATGTTTGTTTAATTTACTACTTCTCCCCAGTCCTCCAAAAGCTTTCTTTTTGAAGGTCATAAAATTAATAAACTGTATATTCAGTGCTCTGAACATGCAAAACAAGCACGTTTCTACGGAGGGGGGGATTTATGGTGCAGGCATAAAATTAATAACTGTATATTCAGTGCTCTGAACATGCAAAACAAGCACGTTTCTACGGAGGGGGGGATTTATGGTGCAGGCAAGGGGTCCCATCATGACCTCGTGCTTCTCCCGAGCACCATCCAGGCTTGCATGTGCCTGGTGCCAAACCTTAGTCTGATGCAATGGTTCATGCAGCCGTTCCCTTTTTACGCTGATGGGATAGCAACTTATTTATAAATCAGGAAATATTTTGTGAACCCACAAGTCTGGAGAATTAATTTACCGGTCTCTCGTTTTAAGCCTAAGCCATCATCTTTTTCACCTCTACAATTGTTATCTATTGTGCATATACACATTTTTTTGTAACGTGCATTATATCTGCTCTGATATAGAGCAAATTACCTGCACCACCTTCAAACCATGCTTAATATACGACTAAGTCCTTTCATTAATTTGCCTCACCACTCTCTTAGCCAGCTTATACCTTTGGCATTCACAAGAGACTTAAACAAAAGCCTAATAAACTCCGGGATCGAAACTCCGAAGCCCCGTTCCCACATCACAGAACTCACTGGAAGTGCTCCAAACAGCCATAAAATCCTATTTTAATATGATAAGTACAAGATAAAGCTGCTAAACTAGGTAAGGCTTGGGGGTCTGGGGAGAGGAAGAGGGCTGGAGGCAGAGACATAAAGTCGATTATGCAACTGGTATAATAAGGATGCCGAGATTCGCACCTGCGCTTTCAGGTAAAAGATAAAAAAAAGACAAAACCAAACAAAACCCTTGCAAACTGAAACATATTTTCTGAATATACCAGTTCACTCTCGGGATTGGCTCTTCTAAAAAGAAAACTCTTGATGCACTGCTTCTCAAAAATAGAACTAAAATTATCCCCGGTGTCAGCAAAGCCACCAGACAAACCCACAGGAACGAGGGAACGCATTTTTCCTGCCGAAAAAGAAGAAAAAGACTTTGTCTGGGTTTACCGTTCTGGGGGCTGACAGTGATGGATAGGAAGGTTACAGCACCGGCATCCGTCTCCATTCCCCTGCCCGAGACGGCATCTCGGGCCGGGGCTGGGGGGGAGCGGGTCGCCTGCCCCGCTGCTCGGGTTGGCGTCACCTGCTCTTGAATGTCTGAGTGCTCCTGGTTTTGTCTCGCAAAACAACTGGAATTTAAGGAATCGTGCTTTTAAACCCGACATTAAATGTCATCCGTTTTACTTAGCATCGGGGGCTTTTAGGGAAGAGACGCTGCTTAGTGACCCACGTTACCGATGGGGCGGAAAACTGCAGGGTTACGAGTCTGTTTGCAGCCGAAAGAAAAAGAAGGAAACTATTATTAATGACAAATGCTTCCTATTATTCTCAGCAACATCGCCTGTCCCTCTGCGGACACCGACTGGGAACACAGCTGCTACCAGTGCTGCCCCGACGCGCTGATGGGACACAAATTAGACAGCAAGAATTTAGGGCTGAAGGTGTTTCTGAAAGAAAAATAAGGCACTGCTTGCATTACGACATATGATATAGCTGCAGATTTTGGATATGATTCATTAAACAGGGATCCTTCTCACAGGCTACTCAGCTGAGTGCTGGAAATTAGCAAAAGGACATTAAAAAATTAAAATATACTCCCTACAAACACCAAAAATCTTACTGGGTGATCTTTCTCCCAAATAAATTTCATCTCACCATTGACGGGCGCAGCTGAACTAAAACATGGTCAGCAAAATGTTTTATAAAGGGTAGAAGAATATCTTTTGACAGTGTTAAGTGCCAGATGATGACGAAACCAACACAACTGATTCCACTGAGTTATCAGGGACAGAAAAAGCAAACTCACTGCTATTTAGGCCCCGATGCCATTCCTACTGAGGCCAGGGACTATTTTGCTGTGGGGTTTAATGGGAGCCACACTGGGCCAAAGAGCATTTCAGAAGACTCTGCAGCAAACAGGTTTATCGTGTTCTAAACAAGATACATCCCAATCTCCACATCAACCACAAAAGCCAAAAAGGTGGGTATTTGGAAAAAAAACTTCCCCAAAATACTTTATCAAAGATTTCCTGAACTCTTTATCAACCCTATCAAGCTCTGTGTTTTCCATAGCCACGGTTGCTAATCCATCCCAATATTAATCCCAATAATACATCCATCCCCCTCATAAGGGAGAGAGGTTCCTCTGTGTGTTCACCCTGCTTTAGCTTAATTATAAAAACTGGAAGAAGAAAAAAGGCATTTTGTCAGTTTTGTGCTATATTTTTTTAACCCTTCTGTTGAGCAGAATAACAAGCAACTTGAGGGAAACCTTAGGATTTCAGAGCTAATTCAGGCGTAAGCTAGATGAACCGAAATGAGCAGGGTTGAGAGCAAAGCCACGGTGCTGGCACCGCGATGCTCCACGCACACCTTTGAACAGATGTAGTTATTTTGTCACAAGACATCTCTTTTCCATAACGGTGACTTTGCAAAAAGGGTTCGCTTCGAGAAAAAATTCCCTGCAGCAGACAGAGAAGACAAACAGCTGAGGTCAGGAGAGGACCAGAACTTCTTAAGAACATAAGCCAGTTATTGTCTTCAGAAACAGTCATAAGTAAACTGATTTTTGTTAGCCCATCTCATGTTTTACCCACTCTAATCCCTCCTATTTTTAAAATACTCCATCTCAAAAAGCAGGGATGGTCTGGAAAGCATCAAGGCGGCATTAAAGAGCAAAAGGAAGAGTAAAGCTTTGATCTCTTAGAATTCGCTGGGCTGCTTCTGTCCTGAAGATACTGCCAGGTGTCATCCTGGACAGCCCCAGCAAGCTCTGCAGGCATTCGCCAGTCCCAAATACTTGGCATCACTAAAAGCCCCAGCTTGGGTCCCGGCATACGAACGGGCAAAACGAGACATGGAAAGAGAGATGATTTTGCATCTTACGTTCACACTCCTCCACGTCCAGGTTGAACTGCTGCAGGGCACCCAGCGTCAGCTGCCGCACTTCGGCTTCCAGCAGCAGCTGCATCAGCGAGGTGGAGAGGTGTTTGCACGCCGACATGCAAGCCGTCTGTGCCACCTTCCCCTGCAAGAGAAAAGGGAGACTTATTAAGGCCATCGAGCACAAAATGAAAGAGGAACTTCTTTAGACCAGGACTCGCCAGTCCAGCCTCTTTAACGTGTCCCATCTGCTATGGGACCTTCACGTAGTGCTCAATCTCGCAACCGCCGTCTTTCAAGGGAATCACCTTTTAGGACTCCCCGTTGCTACTAGCAGGGTTACACCTTGTCAGGTGCAGAGTGTCTGGTAGCAGCTCAAATCCAGGAAAGCCTTGGGATGTTTAGAATTCTAAGCGTCTCTCATTATCGTGTCCTAACGTGGGCAAGACAACATACCACATTTTATTCGCCATCCTACGTAAGATGGCCTGAAGTAACCTTGTTGATAGGTCAAAATAGCGCCAATGACAATTCCAAACTCCAGCCTACAACTAAACCAGCGTCTATATATGTTCCAAGACAGGAATTTCAAAATCCCTTTCCAACAGCAGAGGCTCATAGTTCAAGGCTTAGCCTTGGCTACCGGGGAGCAGAGAGCCGGGGCCACGCTGTTGTGACAACAGTGTCTCTATGACGTTGACGCTTTTCAATCCACTTCCACCACCGTGCAGCACCTTCCAGATGCCAATGGGGACCGAGGAGAAGGAAATATCAAGGTGAGGTGATTGAAGAAGTCAGTTGTGTTTACATGGATAGGATTGCTCCCCAGGGCTGGGGAATGACCTCAGGCACCCGGACGCATCCTGTGCCTGCTTGTACCACAGGGAATGCGGTTATCAACACTTGCCTCCTCCCGAGCCATCCCTAATTTGTGGTGATCAAACAGGGCTCTACGGGGAGGAGGCCGCAGCCGAGGCTGCCATGCAGAGAGAAACTCCTTAAATCCCTTGAAATGCTCCTATCTATAACGAAAGCATGACCAGTTATGAGTTTCAGCTATTAAGGAAATTGAGGACGTTGTCGGTAAATATTTATTTTTAACACATTTTCTCTGAGCCACCGCGGTTATGTATCACTTTTGAGGAACAATTGAGATCTCAAGCTATAAATCATGTGAACAGTTGGTAGCAAGAGGAATTACCCTAGACAAGCCTTCCGTTTTCCGATCAAGAAACAACTGCAAGGCAGGAGAAGAGTGATCACAACAGATGATTTAATTAGCATGCTTACATTTTTGAACTGTTGAATTTGAAACAGCTGATTTTCAAATTATGGGTGAAGCCCCTGCATCGACAGAATTGAGCTGTCAGGTAGGAAGCCTAGGATGCCTCTGAGGACTTACGATGTTCAAAGAAGAGTGGTATTAAGGAAAGGGATGACGGTGGGAGTAGGGATGGGCTGTGGAACAGGAGAAAGGGAGAAGGGTGCTCAGAAAGCTCCACCTCCTGCGAAAGGCCATAAGCAGGTCACTTAGCTTGAGTACCCACACCCTGACCTGGCTGGAGCATCAGCTACCAGGAGAGACACTGTCAGAAGAGAAGGAAGCTGATGAGCACGGACATGAAGAACTGAGATCCTCCAAAAAGACCTACGGATTCTTGATCCTCTTGAGACGCCGCGAGGGGACAGAGGAGGAGGAGACCTTTCCACAAACCGCACAGATGCTCTGCCTCATAGGAGGCAGAGGAGGACCATAGGAGGACCAGGCTCGGGAGCAAGCAGGAAACACACTCTGCATTTAGCCAAGTGGTTCAGAAAATACAAGTTGACTGACCAGAAGCATAAAAGGAAAATTAAAGCACCCATAAGGCCATTAAACAACTCAGACCATCTCAGGCACACAGTGCTTATAAAGCTAAGGTTTCTTTTCTTCTTACTGAATTTGTTTTGCATCACTGCAGCAAGTCTCACAGGTTACAGGTGCCACGCTCTCAGTGAACTAAAACCAAGCATCATTTAGTGTCCTGGTTTTGGCAGGGATAGAGTTAGTTTCCTTTCTAGTAGCTGGTACAGTGTTTTGGATTTAGGATGAGAACAAAGTTGATAATGCACCGATGTTTTAGTTGTTGCTAGGTAATGCTTACACTAGCCAAGGACTTTTCAGCTTCCCATGCTCTACTGACTGAGAAGGCTGGAGGTGCACAAGAAGCTGGGAGGGGGCACAGCCAAACTGGCCAAAGGGACATTCCATACCATGGGGCGTCATGCTCAGTACATAAACTGGGGAAAGCTGGCCGGGGGGGGGCCACTGCTCGGGGACTGGCTGGGCATCGGTCGGCGGGTGGTGAGCAATTGTACTGTGCATCACTTGCTTTGTGTATTATTATTATTATCATATTATTATTATCAATTTATTTCAATTATTAAACTGTTTTTATCTCAACCCACGAGTTTTTCTTAACTTGTGCTCTTCCAATTCTCTCCCCCATCCC